CCATTCCTTTGAAATGCAACCATCAGTGAGGGCAGGGCTGCTAGCAGCCATATTCTGTGGAAGGCAGGAGCCTAACTTATTCAGGCACATTACTGCAAAGGATAAAAATTCACTATTGGTTATTATTAATTATTACAACTTCAGAAAATTATTGTGTCCTGCACTAATTCATTATTAATTTCTATTAAACCTTATTGAAACCCAGTCTATTCCATAAGATATTCAAGTTCATCCACTTGTCTCATTTCTCCTGAACTTCCTTCTTGTTATAATTAAGGAGAGTTTGGAAAATAAAAGAACAAATCATGGCCCATGATCTCATGACTCTACAAGCACTTTTCTTCTGTTATATTATCCTTTTTTTTTCATAAGCATGTACATTTTTAATTCAAAAAAAAAATAAAGTCAAACAAGAAAAATAAGTCCCAGTTTAGAAGGTTAGGCAAATAAGCAAAATGGAAAGTACTGGAAGTTCCATCTAGAGATCCAAATCATCACACGTGTTCATGTCTACAAACAGATCGGTCACCTTGTGATGTGTCTCATTCCAGTTCCTGTTGGACCACGAGGTCCCTTGTATGGGTAGCTTTGAAATCTTACTCCATTGGGGCAGATCTTGTGGGTCTCAGAGACACAGAAAAAGGGGAGCTAGGTGGGTGGTCCTGGGGGAAGGAGAGGAAGAACTAGGCAACAGAGCATCTCTATGGAAGCATCTTTAAAGTGTCTCCTAAAGTATTTTTTTTTTTTAGAGAGAGAGAGAGAGAGAGAGAATTTAATATTTATTTTTTAGTTTTCGGCAGACACAACATCTTTGTTTGTATGTGGTGCTGAGGATCGAACCCTGGCTGCACGCATGCCAGGCAAGCGCGCTACCACTTGAGCCACATTCCCAGCCCTCCTAAAGTATTTTTAAGAAGGGTGTCTCTGAATTTTTTGAAGTGTGGTTGTAGTTTAGAAAGTGTAAAGGCAACACTCTAATTAAACAACCCAAACCAGTACAGATTCTCCAAAATCTGAAATAAATGGGTGAAAATGTCAACCAAGAAACGACAGAGTGGCATACTCTGTATAACAGTGCTCTGTACTTAGTAGGCCATTTACTTGAGAAAAAAAAGTCACAGTTCCTCACTTTCCCCCTATCATAAAACCTCCCCATAACTTACACTGAGGGTTGCAGATGTTGGGAGGCTGGTGTCTGCCACCGTGGGCCACCCCCTAGCAAAGCAGCATCCAGCCTGCTTCAGGCCACCTCCAGCCCTACACAGACAGCCTCAGTTACACTGGATGATGCTTCAGAAACAAGGAAACAGAAAGCAATATTCACACCATATAAAATGTGCCCACCAGACACTGGCATCCAACAAATGAAAATAAAGAAAGAATTAGGTAAACTGGATATGACAGTCAGAAATAAATTTGGATTTGATCCTACCTTAGCATGAGAGCTTTGGACTCCAGGTGAGGCAGTCATGATTTTAGGGTGGTGACTGTGTGTGCATGCGTGTGTGTGTGTGTGTGTGAGAGAGAGAGAGAGAGAGAGATTATCTTGTCAAACAGGAAAAAGAAGCGAATTAAACTATTGCATCAACCTCGTTTACATTTTAATTGCTCCTAAGTGTAAATTCCTACTTCTGGTTTCTTCCGTCTTTCCTCTTCCTTCATCTCAATTCCTCACCTCCATCCCTTCTTAACATTCAGGTGCTGGTCAGTAGTGTAGCATTTCCTATCCATATCTACCCCATACAGCTACACACATACTGGCTCACCCCCACACAGGTGCATGATCCTGCTCATGCCAACAGGCAGGCAGGCAGGCAGGCAGGTGCAGAGACCAGCTAACAGAATCACTTCCCTCCTCTTTTTCTGGGGCTCAATCTCATCTGTACATTAAAGTTTTTGAAAAGGTTGAAAACTGAAACAAAACAGACCTTGTCCAATACATCTAAAAAGGAATTAATTTCAATGTAATGCAAAACAATAGTATTAGGTTCAAGTGCTACAATTAGATTGTCACAAAAACACAGCAAGGAAAAGTTTTGATTTCCAGCCAATAAAATACATTGATATTAAGCTAGTGTTCCTTTCATAGCTGAACAAATGAAAACAAGAACAATTACATACTATCTATAGGACTCACAGGAAAAATGACAGTAGACCTCAGAAACAAGCCTTCTGCTTCCAAGTATGTGACATGGTTGTCCTCCTGAGACCCTTGAACACTTCAAATTCTGCTTTCCAAAACCCCTCCCCCTCCACACATCCCACAGTGCATGTATTCAAAGAGCACTTCAATACAACCATCCCCACATTCTTAGGGAGAAGGAAATGAAGCATAATTGTAATAATCACTGACCAGGAGGAGACACACATACTGAAATGCATGCCTGTAAGTTGTCCAGGTGCTCTATAACTGGAAACTTTCAAAGTGCTATGGAATCCCCCCGAAAAAGTGGGACAAGTTCTCCATAGAAGCCTGGGAATACTTTGCAGAGAAGCTGCTCTGAAAGTTTGGGCAGGTGTTTTGTAGGCAGTGTAAAGGGGGAATGTCTCTCTCAGGATTGGCAGGTGTGAAGAATGCAGCAGGAAGAGCATGGTAGTGCGGGGGCCCAAGGAGTGGATCTGCTGGAGGCGGGGAGGCAAAATGAGTCCCATGTGCTAGCCTTAGAGTCTGGACTGGGGCTAGGGTCTGGACAGCCACAGGTGGTTTTTAAATAAATATCTTAAGGAGTAGGTTGGGCTTTTAGAAAAATGACATGGCTCACTATTTGGTGAGGAAAAGGGCTGGGGAACGTGCTGGAAGACCACTACCACGGACTAGTGACTCCTGTGTGGAGGAAACACCTGTGTTGGAGAAGAGGGAGAGGGAAGGGCCCGCAGAGGACTGCCCACACAGGCAGGAGGAGCAGGAGGCCAGGATCATTCTGAGCGCACCCTCCAAATTCATAAGAAGCTTATATGAGGAGACACACTGGAATGGGGAAAGTCATACATTCCACTGGAGAGGCGGGGAGCATACCATACCAAGTAGACCTATAACAAGGACAGCCAGGGATGTTTGGACATATAGGTAGGCCACTCGGTGAGTACAAGCTCTGGCACAAGAGGCTGGGAGTCATCAACATCCTGATTCCAGGACAGTCTATGAGAATGGATGAAACGACTCAGAACAGTGGTTAGTGGAGATGCCGGAGGACAAATTCACTTAATTAATGGGGGGTTCCCCTATATTTAAAGGTAGTAAAAGGAAGAAAAAAGAGACTATGACCCAGAAATCAGGGATGTACTGGGAGAACTGGGAGGTGTGTCTGTGGGAGGTCCATAATACACAGCATCATTACACACAGCTGGAAACCACCGGGAAGTTACAGGGGAGGAGAAAGCAGCCCTTGGTGAGGGGGTCAGCAGTGTCCTCCGCACAGGAGCACAGAGCTAAAGGCTGAAGAGGGGTACCTGGGGAGTGAGGAACTAATTTAAGTAACTAAAGGGCTTCTGTGGCTACAACCTAAGGGGGAGGTCGGTGAAGAAGGATTTGGTGGCCCGCCAGGTGGGGGGTGGGGGATACCAGGGACGTAACTCAGGGTAGAGCGCTCGCCTAGTGTGCTGGTCCGCAAGAGGCACGAGTTCAGACCCGGGTACCGCAGGTGAAGGGGACGGTGCAGTTTAAGTTGAAGGGAAGTGATCAAGGAGGAAAATGAAAGACGAAGGGAGGGAGGAAAGGAAGCAAGGAAGGGAAGGTACAGTCTACCAGCGGCTGCCGCAGGAGCCCGGCGTTTGTGCTGGAGGTAGCTCAGACTCCGCACTTCCCTAGAACTTGCCCCAAGGCGCCACAAAATTCCCGGGAAGCTCCAAGTCGCAGCCGAGGGTTCCCACTGCACCCGCGGCTCCTCCCAGTCCTGCTCCCCAAGTCCCGCCCACCAACCCCAAGCCCCAACTCCACTGGCTGCTTTCCCTGCCACTCCCCACCGCTGGCAAATCGCAGAGCAGCGGCGTCAGGAGAGGGTGGGGACACGACAGTGGGGAAACAAGCAGGTGACCCCGCGCGGGTCTGCGCTCCCGCCCACGTCCCAGGATCTCGGCCTCCGACCAGGCTCTGGTTAGAGCCCGAGCAGCGCGGACATCGGGGTGCGACCCCCGGCGCGCTGGTGCCTGGCTGATCCCCGCTGCCCCACAGCCCCGCTGCCCGGTTCCCTCCCGCTGACGTCTCCTAGTGCTCTCCTCTTTCTCCGCCCTGGTCTTCCTCCCTCCATCCCACTCCCACGCTCCACGGGGCTCTAGGGCAGAAGGGCTGGGGAAACCCGAGGACCCCAATGCCTCCCCAGCGGTACCTGCGAGATTCTTGCTGTCGCTGCAGCTGCTGCGTCTACTGTTTCTGCTTTGTGGATGCTCCTCCGCCTGATCGGGCAAGGCTTCCGGGCCCGTGACTCACAACAGATTGCACGTTGCTCAGGCCTGTGCTATCTCTGCCTCGGAAAGCCCCGTGCGGGACCCTGGGAGGAGCCTGCCCCAAGGGTTCCTGGGTTCCAGGCCTCGCCGGTGGCTTAGGGCGGTGTGGGGGCGCCTGGTTCTGGGAGAGTGGTCGTGGAAGGCTTCTTCCAGCAGGGGATAGGTTTGTTTTTCTGGGTTAGTACGTGCAGTATTTGTGCTTAGTGTGCCAATGGAAGAGCAATTTCAAAGTTGGAACTTAACTTAAAAACAAGGAGTTCAATTTGCTAGTCAGTGGATTCCAAACTGTTTGGGCCAGAAACCTATCAACACAATGTTTGACACATCCCTGGTGGTTCTTCATTTAAATGTGATAATGTGCTTACATTACATTAGTACAAGCACTATAAAACACATACACAAAAATTTAAAGTAATGAGAAAAAAAATTATATTTTTGTATCACAAAAATTATTTTTAAAATTTTATGAGAGCAATGTGATTAAATATGTATGTGCCTTTTGTTAACCTAGTTTAATGCTTTGAAATACAGTAATTGGCAGATCTGCTATTAAGTTCAGCTTATTTCTAAATTTGGATTGGTAACCATCATGGGAAAAAGCTTTTGGGGAAATGAGTTTATTTCAGTGGAATAAAGGCAGAGTTGGTTGTTCTTTCTAGATCTTGACACTTAATATTCAACTTATACACTAATTAAAGTTTTTTGTAAAAGTCTAGGTGAAATCTATCCTCTTGAAAGCTAGTTGTTCTCACAAACCAATATTTTAAAATGTTGTCCTTTTAAGATTTTTAACAGGCCAAAGCCAACCAATTATCTTCTTTTGGGAAAGTCCAAAGGAAGTCTAGAAATTTACATTTTCAAATTTTTAAGTGTCCACATAAGAGAGTTTTAGCAATAAAATGATGTAAGCATGGGAAAAAATATCAGAACACAGTTGTTCTGAAAATGATACTGCAGACTCTAAAAAGCAGTGAATTTCTCATTCGCAGATAAAATGCCCTGTTGCTTGGAAGGCAATCAGTTATATGTTTTTCAAACTATTTGCTAAATATTCTCCAAGGAACTTACTATCACAGAAAAGCTTAGTACATTGGGACAGTACCTTTTAAAGAGAGAGAGAGAGAAAAAAATATATATATATAAATGTGTAATTAATTGCCTTTTTCAAGTACTCTCATTAGATAATAAGCATGCCTCCAAAAAAATATTGTATGTAGTATATGTAATGAGTATCTGCTAGGCTACTTATAACAAGGTCAAAAGTTCTACTTAATGTTCTAGGTTTTAAAAAGCAGCATGTATCTCTTGCATTATGAAGGGCTCTATTCATTATGAAACGCTTCTCTGTACCTGGATAGAGGTTCAAAAAGACAATGAACAATTCAAAGTATCCCAGATTCCAAAGTCTGTATGGCTCTGCTTCCACAGAGGAACTGGAACGCCTAACTAGGAATTAGAAATAAACACTCAGTTTTAGAATGACATAATTTTGAATTGCAATCCTTGCCACTGGGTTTATAATGGACTCCTACTGCCCTGGGTGTGGTGGCTGTGGTAATCCTGGAGGTTTAGAGGCTGAAGCAAGAGGATTGCAAGTTCAAAACCAGCCTCAACAATTTAGCAAGGCCCAAAGCAACTTAGCAAGGCTCTATCTCTAAATAAAATATTTTAAAAGGGCTGAGGATTTGGCTCAGTGGTTAAGCACCCTGGGATCAATCCCAGGTACGAAAAACTTAGAATAAAACATCACAAACCCCGACTTTTCAGAGGTGCCTTCCTCAGAAGAAATAAATGATTATTATTTAAGACATTTAAATAACCCCAGTCCATGGTATGGAGGATGGGGTACTGGGGATTGAATTCAGGGGCACTTGACCACTGACCCACATCCCCAGCCCTATTTTGTAATTTATTTAGAGACAACTCACTGAGTTGCTTAGTGATCTACTTTTGCTAAGTGTGGCTTTGAACTCTCAATCCTCCTTCCTTAGCCTCCTGAGCCACTGTGATTATAGCTGTGCACCACTGCACCTGGCAGTCTTTGTTACAGCAGCCTCAGCATCTTCAAACAACCTAATGCCCCACAGCTGGACTTCAGACCTCTTTAAAGGTTTGGCTGCCACAGGGACACACAATCTTCTATTGGCAGCAAAACTTGTTGGTGGTCAAAGCTAGTTTACAGAATGTGTGCAGGTGGAACTGATCTGCAGATTCAAAATGCCTGGTAGGGATCAAGTTACCAGAGGGGTGCATCTTGACCCAAAGAACTGGCCATCGCATGGAGAAAGCATGGCCTGAGACTGTGGCCATAAACAATCATGTGCCTACGCTAAATAATCACAGGAAAACAAGAAACTTGAAGAGAAGGTCCTTTCTTCTGCCACCACATTGCAGTGTCTTTCCAGGCAGAACAACTGGGTTGTTCTGGGTCCAGGTCCCAATAACAAGTGAACAGGTGAGATCAGCTTTTCTAGGATTAAATCCTAGAAGGATCTGTGTGTGTGTACGTGTGTACAGCCCGCACATGCATGCTCACACACACTTACTTGAAACAGCATGACATAATGCAAATGTCTTCCAGTGCAATTTCCAAACAGATGTGGGAAGCCTCATTTGGTGGGTGTTCTTTTTATGAAAATTTAATTGTTTTGGCCATCTCCTATTCCCCTCACTGGTGAAGATGAGATATCCCACCCTAACTAATGTGAGATAACCAAACACATGATGGGGACCCTGGACTGACGAAATTGGCAGCAGTTCATTAGTGGCATCTACTAACAACCCAGGGAAGGAGGACTTCAGGGCCTGTTCGAGTTGCAACCGGGAACATAATGAACCAGTGGAGACTGAGGAAAGCAGGCTTTGTAGGAACAAGAGGGAGGGTGAATCTGGTTCCTCTGGGAGAATGGGGTAGGCTTGTTTGAATAATTTTTCAGGCTGCAAAGTGAGCCAGGTTGGATCCACGTATACAGCTGGAAGCTGGGCAAGGAGCCTTTGCCACTTGGAAGAAGGGGTGCGCACCTCTGATGAGAGCAGGGCTAAGTCTTTGGGGCTCTGAGAAGCTCAGAGATGTCAAAGCAGCACATGGGATTTCAGGTCTTACAATATAGTAATAAAATATGGTGTGATAACTCATCAAAGCAACTTAACAAATAGCTAATTTGAAAAAAAAAAAGAGCCTCTTAGAGCAGTATGCATATTGTCTATGTGTTGTGGCTTTCCTGGCTAAGGTCTTACTGTATGATGAGTCTGTAATACATATGAACACTATCGTTCATATTCATAATTCACTACAGATTCACTCTGAAGGTCCCCAGGGAGGGGAAGAAAGCTGCCTGTGTGCCTGGGTGGGTAGAGCTCTCCGTTACACCCTCCCACCCTGCACATAACTGAACTCTCAGCAAGGCTGTGCAGAGGACCTCCTTCCCCAAGGAGCAGGGCATCAGCCCACCGCCACTGGCTGCAGCACTCAGAGGCTCTCTCTGCAGTGGAAGAATCACAGACGCTGATTATCCACCACCCTGAGTCTTTTCTCCAAGTCCAAGTGCTGGGAATGGAGGGGAAGGAGGAGTGTGCTGAAACCAGCAACCTGTAACACTCCCTTTCCCCTCAGCAGCCCATATTATAAAGTCAGCATGTCCTTACAGGCCTCAGCCCCATTACCTCCCTGCAGGCAGGTTGCTGGCTTGCCTACTGAGGGAAAAGTGAACCAGCTATAGAATGAAAATAGGAGCCAGGTCAGTGAAGCTGGAGGGTCCCAGGGTCCTGCTGACTGCAAGGACTAGAGCTTCCCTCAGAACAGTACCCCACCAACCCAGCGGTCTCCCTTGTGGCTGAACACACAAGTCACATTTCAAGCAAGTAACACAAATGGCTACAGAAAGCTTAGCTTTATTTTGTTAACATTTGAAATTAAAAAGACATCTGATGTTTGCCCATGAAGCTGTCTAAAACTACATTACAGTGAATAGAATAGTTTAAATTATCTCTGCCTCCTGACAGCTATGTTTAAATTTTCAGAGAAAGTGGTATTATACATTTGAGTAGATGTGTGACCCACTAGTCCCTCCAAATGCATACTGTGATTAAAAACATGAGGGAACTGGATGGGGTTCTCACTCGTCTGAGTTACCTGTTCTCTTAGCCTCTCTGCTGGCTTCTGAAGAACTGGCAGGAAGCTTGGGAATGGAGGTTTTCTCTGCTCCCCACATCTCCTCCTGGCTCTTCACTTATTCTCTTTTTCATTAAAAATGGGTCACAATGTCCATGCAACTTACTACAGAAAAGAAGGAACAGGTATCTTCTTGTGCCTGGGAGAATAGGAGCACCACAGACCAGCGGGGGTGGGGGGGAAGGGGAGGAGGGCACCTTACAAAAAGTAAAGGTAGGAAGTAGTTTTGTCACTTTGACAGGTGAAATGCATGTGCATGGGAGTC